CAAACCCCCCCAAATTTTGCCACCATCCCCGTGTTCTTTGCAGGAGGTGCCCACGGAGACCCCCCCAGGGAGGGAGAGCTCCACGTGGGCCATCCGTGCCGTGTCCCTGGAGAGCTCGGTGTCCCCAGCAGAGCCCGTGGCCCGTGTCCTTTTCCATCTCCAAGGGCCCGACTGGCTGCCCGGCCGGCGGGACCCCCCCAGGGAAAAGGACCCCCCCACTGAACAGGACCCCCTTGGCCAGAGAGACCCCCCTGGGGAGAGGGACCTTCCTTGTGTCACCCTCCATGCCCACCACCGTGGCCGGGTGGCCCGTGGGACGTGTCGCCTACAGGTCAGTGTCACCCACCTGAGGAGGGGTGGGATGGGGGGGGGGGGGCACTCTTTTGGGGCCTCCCACCCCCCCACAAGCTGGACCCTTTCTCTCCCCCCCTCTCCAGGCACCTTTGGGCGCCTGCGTGGTGGAGCTGGAGATCCCACCACGTTGGTTCTCCTCCGTGTCCTCCACCCCACGGAGCCGCCGGCGAGTGGCCGACCCCCCCGGTCACCCCGAGCCCCCCGAACCGGTCGAGTTACACTACGGGGTGGTGGCACCGGGGGATTGTGGCCGTAACGGGGGTCGGGAACGGAGCCGGGGTGGGGAGACACCCCCCCGTTATCTGGGCACCTTGGAGCTACGGGCGGCCGAGACGACGCGGTGGCAGGAGGTCCGGCTGGATGACAAGGTCCTCCTCAAGGTCCCCGATGTCACCTTGCGCCCGGGCCAGCGCTTCACAGCCACCCTCGCCCTCCGTCACAACTTCACCGCCGACCAGTTGACCCTCCGGTGGGTGAGACACCCCCCCAAAACCCCAGGGTGGGCAGGGGACCCCCATGGAAGGACCTAGAGACTTCCCTCCGGAGGGTTGGGGACATTGTGTGACAAGGACGTTGTGTGGTGGTGGGTCTGATGGCAGGATCAAGGCCAAGAAGGGGTTGCAGGTGGTGGCCGCCCGTCCTGGGTCCCCCAGTGCCTGGACAACCCACCTGGAGCGCAGCCGGGGGCCCAAACACTCCACGGCCGTGGTGACCTGTCGGCGCAGCGGGGACAACCGGGGTGGCTGGAGGTAGGGACCAGCGTGGGGACCCCGGTGTGGGAGGGGGGTTCTGCATGGGGGACCTGTGGGTGACACTGCTTCCATCCCAGTATGGCCCAGTTAGAGCAGGGGGACCTGTGGGTGACACTGCTCCCATCCCAGTATGGCCCAATTAGAGCAGGGGGACCTGTGGGTGACACTGCTCCCATCCCAGTATGGCCCAGTGTGACCAAAGGGACCCGTGGGTGACACTGCTCCCATCCCAGTATGGCCCAGTTAGAGCAGGGGGACCTGTACATTGCCCTGCTCCCATCCCAGTATGGCCCAGTATGACCAAAGGGACCTGTGGGTGACACTGCTCCCATCCCAGTATGGCCCAGTATGACCAAAGGAAGCTGTGGGGGACACTGCTCCCATCCCAGTATGGCCCAGTGTGACCAAAGGGACCCGTGGGTGACACTGCTCCCATCCCAGTATGGCCCAGTTAGAGCAGGGGGACCTGTACATTGCCCTGCTCCCATCCCAGTATGGCCCAGTATGACCAAAGGGACCTGTGGGTGACACTGCTCCCATCCCAGTATGGCCCAGTATGACCAAAGGAAGCTGTGGGGGACACTGCTCCCATCCCAGTATGGCCCAGTATGACCAAAGGAACCTGTGTGTTGCATCGCTCCCATCCCAGTATGGCCCAGTTGGAGCAGGGTACCCTACAGATTGCACCATTCCCATCCCAGTATGGCCCAGCGGGTGGGGTGGCTGGTTGTGGGGGGGGTGGGGGTGACACGAGGTGGCCCCCAACCCCTCGGTGGTGACCCAGGGTGGCCGACTCGGGCGCGTTCCTGCACCTGGAGCTGGGGGTGGAGAACGGGACGGGGGGGCTGGCGGGGGCGCGGCCCCTCAGCTGGCAGGTGGAGTACCCCGGGCAGGACCCCGACGCCCAGAAGGACAAACTGGTTTGGGAGATCCAGGTGGCAGAACGGGACATCCGTGCCCTCGTCCCCTTAGTGCAGGTGGGTGACACCCCCCCTTCCCCCCCCCAATCCATCCCAGCCCCGCTGAGCCCACACACACTCGTGACATGTCCCCGCTGAGCCCCCACGGTGCTGGGCAATCCTGCCCTGCTGAGCCCACACGCACTCGTGACACATGTCCCTGCCCTGCTGAGCCCCCACGCGCTCGTGACATGTCTCCCTGCCCCACTGAGCCCCATGGCACCCATGAGATGCACCCCTGCCCCACTGAGCCCCCACACATCATGACATGTCTCCCTGCCCTGCTGAGCCCCCAAGCACTCATGACATGTCTCCCTGCCCCACTGAGCCCCACGGCACCCATGAGGTGCACCCCTGCCCTGCTGAGCCCCCACGCACTCGTGACACATCCCAGCGTTGCTGAGCCCCCCAAGCACTCATGACATGTGTCCCTGCCCACTGAGCCCCCACACACTCATGACATGTCTCCCTGCCCCACTGAGCCCTGTGGCACTCATGACATGCACCCCTGCCCCACTGAGCCCCCACCCACTCATGGCACATGTCCCTGCCCCACTGAGCCCCATGGCACCCATGAGATGCACCCCTGCCCTGCTGAGCCCCCACCCACTCATGACACATGCCCCTGCCCCACTGAGCCCCATGGCACCCATGAGATGCACCCCTGCCCCACTGAGCCCCCACACACCCAGGACACATGT